AAGGCAGGTGGTGGGAAAACCCCCGCCATGAGAAGGCGGTGAGTAGGGCTTCTTCTCAGCAGAGGCTATTTGAGACGCTTGGTCGTATGGAAGCATTGGGCGAGGTGCAAGGGAAGGGTGACCAACCGTAACCCAAGACACCCACCCCCGACCATACTGAGGCTTTCGTCGTACGGTTTCCTTGTTTGCAAATCGCACATTTTTTGCCCCGCTCACGTACATGTAGTAGTGATAAATTTCAATGCAAATTAGCAAGAACACATAGCGTTGATTGCACTGTTTTATTCGGTTTCTCGTTGTTCGAAGGCTGTAGAATGCCGGGAGTTTCCAATCAGAGAATCTGAACGCTACTGAGCGCATCTGCCGATTGCAGATACCAGAATGACCAATTTCGTGGTGTCAGTCGCGAATGGGTGGACAGTATTTTGCTGAAAAGATGGTCGTGGCTGACCAGCGGCTAGATGGCCTGTGCCACAGAAGGTCGTAGGGAAAATCGTGACGTAAGCACTTCTGATCCGTCATCACCAAATAAGGTCATCGTTATTAGCCTGTTGCCCCACAGGTTTCCTTTCACTGTATTCCAGGGTATAGAGACCTTCTGAATGGAAAAGATATTTCCCCCGGGGAGGCTACTTCGTCCCGTTTCCCACATAACCTTGCTAAATTGCTCTGGGAAACTGATTTATCCGTACTTAGGAAGTTGCAAGTCTCGTATAAGTGAAAAAATTGAAATAGCACGGAATTCACGGAGAAAAATCGTATGATATAATGAATTCCATTAGACACCCGAAATTGTACTGTCTTGTTCTAATGCAGTTTTCATCATGATATCTCTTTTGGTCGTGTCTGAGCGGTGCAATCGTTATGTTCGGCGCTACTGCTACTACTATTATCCCAACGGTTCTCGTTCGTACTGAATTCGATCCTACCTAGCCAGATTTACATTCCAAAACGGTCGAGAACATCTATGCTGCACCTTTCACCCTCATCGGATCACTCTCGTATTGTACTCACTTCTCTCTCTCTGTGTGTGTAGTTCACTCCACCATAGATGGATTGGTGAGCCAAATGCCCCAGTCTTGTCATCAATGGTGACTGACTGGTTCACCGCCTTGCGTGGACTTGTGCAAATCCCGTGCAAAACAGTTGGAGTCATTTTCATATCAATATGCCGATCTGATTTTTTCAGTTGAACTTTGCGGTTCCCTGGTTTTCAACGCGCCGTTGGTAACTCAGTTCGGAGGACCATGTCTGCACCACTTCATCCAAAAATATGAGATCGTATGACTCCAAAATGGTTAAGGAACAACCTCTCGCACGCATTCCTTTAGTGTGCACAC